CCAAGATGGCCTCCAAGACGCCCAAGATGGCCTCCAAGACGGCCCTGGAGCGCCCCAAGAGGGTCCCCCGTTGGCCCAGAAAGGCCCCCAAAACGGCTCCCGACGGCGTCAGACGTGCCAGGAACCCACCAAGATGGCCGAAGTTGGCTCGAAGCTGGCCCAAAAGGGCCCAAGAGGCCCCCAAGAGGGCCTCCAGGAAGGCCAAAAGATGCCAAAATCACTGATTTTCCCAAGGTTTTTGATGGATTTGGGCATTTCCCTTTTTTCGGCCTTCCGACGGCCCGAGACGGCCCAAGAGCCCCCAAAGATCGCCGAAAGATCGCCCAAGAGGCCTCCAAGACGGCGACGATGACCATCAAGACGCCCACGTGTTCCCCGAAGGCTTTCCAAACCGATTCGGGGAACACATGGTCCGATGGCTTGGCAGGTCTGGCCTCAACGTTCGGCCACATAGGCGCTTCCACAAAGGCAGGGGGCGGCGGTGATTCGCCGTAGGCGTCTTCGATTCGCCGCCCCCTGTGGTCTTGCCACAGGTGTGCCTGGCGTGCTAGATCCTACTGGCTCTGGTGTGGTCCTTGTTTAAAAAACTCTCCCTGGGGCTCCGGCCCAGCGCACCGGCCACCCGGCATAGCCCGCCCGCTGCGCCACCAGCTTCTCCCAAAACGGCCGTCCCGCTAGGGACATCCTCAACGAATCACCACATTGGGGATCCTAACACAAAACGCCTTACGATAAAAATGAGATTCTCACGCGCGACATCATCAAATTATCCCAGTGCGACCCTACCTAGGAGTTAGAACCCCTAGGAAAGCAGCATTAGTAGTAACAGTAACGCTGCGCTAAAGCTAAGCTAAAGCTAAGCTAAAGCTAAGCCACAGCTAAGCTAAAGTTAAGCTAAAGCTAAGCTAAAGCTAAGCTCAAGCTAAGCTAAAGCTAAGCTAAAGCTGAGCAACAGCTAAGCTAAAGCTAAGCTACAGCTAAGCTAAAGCTAAGCTAAAGCTAAGCTAAAGCTAAGCTAAAGCTAAGCTAAAGCTAAGCTAAAGCTAAAGCTAAGCTAAAGCTAAGCTACAGCTAAGCTAAAGCTAAGCTAAAGCTAAGCTAAAGCTAAGCGAAACGCTAAGCTAAAGCTAAGCTGCAGCTAAGCTAAAGCTAAGTTAAAGCTAAGCTAAAGCTAAAGCTAAAGCTAAAGCTAAAGCTCCCAGGGGACTGGGGGGAACCGCTCCCAAGGGACTGGGGGGAACCGCCAGGGGCGTGTTCCACTGCCCGGCCCCTTTAAGCTAAGAGAGTAAGAACCCTTCTAGGCAGAGCCTAGGTAGGGAAATTATCCCAGTGCGACCCTACCTAGGAATTGGAGCCCCTAGGAAAGCAGCATTAGTAGTAACAGTAAAGCTATGCTAAAGCTAAGCTAAAGCTAAGCTAAAGCTAAGCTAAAGCTAAGCTAAAGCTAAGCTAAAGCTAAGCTAACACTAAGCTAAAGCTAAGCCGAAGCTAAGCTAAAGCTAAGCTGAAGCTAAGCTAAAGCTAAGCTAAAGCTAAGCTAAGGCTAAGCTAACACTAAGCTAAAGTTAAGCTAAAGCTAAGCTGAAGCTAAGCTAAAGCTAAGCTAAAGCTAAGTTAAAGGTAAGCTAAAGCTAAGCTAAAGCTAAGCTAAAGCTAAAGCTAAAGCTAAGCTAAAGCTAAAGCTAAAGCTAAGCTAAAGCTGAGCAACAGCTAAGCTAAAGCTAAGCTAAAGCTAAAGCTAAGCTAAGGCTAAGCTAAAGCTAAGCTAACACTAAGCTAGAGATAAGCTGAAGCTAAGCTAAAGCTAAGCTAACACTAAGCTAAAGCTAAGTTAACACTAAGCTGAAGCTAAGCTAAAGCTAAGCTAAAGCTAAGCTAAAGCTAAGCTAAAGCTAAGCTGAAGCTAAGCTAAGCTAGCTAAGCTAAAGCTAAGCTAAGGCTAAGCTAACACTGAGCTAAAGCTAAGCTAAAGCTAAGCTGAAGCTAAGCTAAAGCTAAGCTAAAGCTAAAGCTAAGCTAAAGCTAAGCTAAAGCTAAAGCTAAGCTAAAGCTAAGCTAAGCTAAGCTAAAGCTAAGCTAAAGCTAGCTAAGCTAAGCTAAAGCTAAGCTACAGCTAAGCTAAAGCTAAGCTAAAGCTAAGCTAAAGCTAAGCTAAAGCTAAGCTAAAGCTAAGCTAAAGCTAAGCTAAAGCTAAGCTAAAGCTAAGCTGAAGCTAGGCTGAAGCTAGGCTAAAGCTAAGCTAAAGCTAAGCTAAAGCCAAGCTAAAGCTAAGCTAAAGCTAAGCTGCAGCTAAGCTACCACTAAGCTAAAGCTAAGCTAACATTAAGCTAAAGCTAAGCTAAAGTTATTTAAGCTAAAGCTAAGCTAAAGCGAAGCTAACACTAAGCTGAAGCTAAGCTAAAGCTAAAGCTAAAGCTAAAGCTAAGCTAAAGCTAAAGCTAAGGCTAAAGCTCCCAGGGGACTGGGGGAACCGCGGGGCGGGGACTGGGGGAACCGCCCGGGGCGCTTCCCACTGCCCGGCCCCTTTAAGCTAGAGAGTAAGAACCCTTCTAGGCAGAGCATAGGTAGGGAAAAAGGCGACGTTGAAATCGATGGCCTCATCTTCGGATCTTCCAAAATGACAATTTCGCTGCAGACATCTTCAAAAACAAGGTACTGCTGCAAAAGAATGGACCCAAGACGGCCCAAGAGCCCACTCAGAGGTTTCCAAGACGGTCCGAAAGGCCCCCAAGAGGGCCTCCAGGAAGGCCCGAGGCAAAATGTGTTTCTTTTCGGCCTTCTGACGGCCCGATGGCCCAAGAGCCCCAAAAGATCGCCCCAAGGTCGCCCAAGAGGCCTTCGATATGGCCCCAAAACAGCCCAAGAGGCGCCCAAGACGGCCCCAAGAGGGCCCCAAGACGGCCCAAGAGACCTCCAGGACACCCCAGATGGCCTCCAAGACGGCCCTTGAGCACCTCAAGAGGGCTTCAAGTCGGCCCAGAGAGGCCCCCAAGATGGCTTCCGACGGCGTCAGACGGGCCAGGAAGGCCCAGAGACGGCCAAGGAGGCCCCCGAGAAGCCCCCCAAGGCCCCCAAGAGGCACAAGGAGGCCCCCAAGATGCCTCCAAGAGGCTCCCAGGAAGCTCCCAGGAGGCCCCAAGAGTGTTCCCAAAGAGTCCCAAGATGCCCCTTCCTCCTCCTGCTCCTCCTCCTGCTCCTCCTCCTCCTCCTCCTCCTCCTCCTCCTCCTCCTCCTCCTCTCCTCCTCCTCCTCCTCCTCCTCCTCCTCCTCCTCCTCCTCCTCCTCCTCCTCCTCCTCCTCCTCCCCCAAGTGTTCCCCGAAGGGTTTCCACAACGGCTGGCGGAGCACATGGTCCGATAGTTTGGCAGAGCCTTTGCCACAACGCTCGGCCACATGGGCGATTCCAAAAGGCATGGGGCGGCGGTGATTCGCCGCAGGCGTCTTCGATATACCACGAAGTCTTCGTACCTGTCTTTTCGCTGGTTTTTGGACACGTTGTAGAGATACTACGTACACCATCAACCATACCTGGGTGAGAAAGGCGCAAGCCAAAGCACCCCGCAGGCTGAAGAACATGCCGGCCACTGCCTTCGTTTCGGCTTCAGCACCTGCTAGTTTTGGACACTGCATGGAACGAAGCTGTTTGACGTGTTCATCCTGGTCGAGGGTGACGCTGCCATCTTTTCAAATGTGTATACCTCACGGCGCAGTTTGTGCACGCGTGTTTGTTGAGGTTGTATCCGCCGAAGTGTTCTCTACGCAATTGCATTACATGTTGATCATGTCCTCAGTACCGGCCACGTTTATGTCAGCAGCGTATTCAGCCGTCAGAAGGTTCTGGCTAGTCTCGAACTCCACATCGTATGATGTGGGTCGTAATCTGCATCCTCGCGTGGTCGTGCGAAACTTCAGCGAGAACGCTGCGATTCGTCGAAAGGCGCGAGGCTTGGCACCCACCGCAGAACGGTAGCTGAACCTGGTGGTCAAGTAAAGCAAACAATCCTCTCTTGCTCGCCCGTCGCCTCGGCCAACTCGCGGTATGTGAGCCCCTTCAAAAAGGCTTTGTCGACGTCCATGGATGCGATGATCCATTAACTCTTGCACGCGGCCGTGTTGGCGAGTAGCCTCTTGCTCGATCGCCTGGCTGTTCATGAATAGGTCTCCACATCCAAATCCTCGAGATCCCAAAACACCTGCTTAAGAAGATATCGGGAATCACTCAAGAATATCCAGAGGATCGCTCAAGAATATCAAGGTTTTCTGCAGGATCAATTAATGATCGTGCACGCATTCCTGACCTGGGTACCCGGGTGGGAGTGGTACCAGAAAAGGCTGGCAATTCTGGCGAAGTGTTGGAACACGTGCGAGTGGGTATGCACCTAGCGCATCATGGCCCGAGCCATCTGCGCGGACGAGGGCCAGCTGATCCGTTCCGTTGGCAGCCCTGGGGCCTGGGCGAGAGCCTCCAGGAGGCCAGAAACTGTAAAAACAAAAAACCTACGTGCTGATGATGCCTCAACGCATTGGAGGTCCGGGACCCCAGACATCCGACGGTGTGACTGTTTTCGACGCGTGGCCCCAAAGGTCTCGTCCGCCTCCCCGTAAGTAGTTTGTCGCCCCGGGTCCACTTTTGGTGGCTCAAGGGCCCGAGAAAGGGCCCCACGAAGCTGACAGAAAGGAAAACCGACCAGACTGACAAAATCATGTCCGTGGAAGTCTTGGCCGGAGCAGCCTCATGACTCATGACCGCCAGGGGAGGAGGGCGGAGGAGGAGGAGGAAGAGGAGGAGGAGGAGAGGAAGAAGAATAAGAAGAAGAATAAGAAGAAAGGGGAAGAGGAGGAGGAGGAGGAGGAGGAAAGAGGAGGAGGATGGAGGGAGGGAGGGAGGGGGGGGGGCAACCATCCCCAAACGAACCCTCTGTGACTACACTCGACGATTGGAATCGACGGACGGGAGCGGACCACGGCGGCGCGGCGGGGCCCTGGCGGCACGGCGGGGCCTCGGCTAGTCCTGCTGGTCTGCGAGCTCGTTTCCGAGAGGCGCGCCGACTCCTGGGGGTCCACGTTCGCCTCGGGGCCACCGCTGCCGCCCCCCGCGGGCCCCCCCTGCGAGGCGGGAACTATCCCCTGGGGGATTGCTCTTCGGATACCTCGGCAGGCGGTGGACCCGGATATGTTCGGGCCGTGGCGGCCAAACCCAGAACATGCACCGCCTGCCGAGGCCCCCGAAGATCGATCCCCCAGGCGGTGGTTGTTGTGGATACACCCCCGCCTCGGATCCCCTGACTGGAAGAGGAGGACTCGGCACAGACTCTCCTTAGCGTCGCGGCCGCGCGCGCAGCCGCGCGGCCGCACAGACACACAAACTCTCGGAGGTCTGCGGAGATTTCTTGGATCGGCGCTGGACCCCTTCCTGGAGCGCGGAGCCCGCCAGGGGGGGCGCGAAAAAAACACGACGGCGGACTTTTGGGCGGTTTCGGCCTCTCGATGGTCCTCAGAGCGAGTGACAGCGCCAACGTGAGTTTGCCCATCTTCGGTACGACGCGGGCGGTAACATGTGTAGGCTGCGCACGATCGGTGGATCCGAGAAATGGAAGCACATGTTGGGCCAGCACTCGTCCTGAGGAGCATCAAGCCTTCTGCGGAGGCCTTACCAGGCAAGGTCTTGGACATGCAAGAAGCAACTCGGGATGAAGAGCCACTCCTAGACAAGAGGTGCAGACCTCAGTCACCGACTTCCGACGGATTGGCTTTCTTTTAGCGGGCCTCAGAATTCTCAACCCCTTTCCCTGGGGCAAGTTTTCGTCCCAGATCCATATCTGGTGGCCCTGGGACCCCAAAACGGCACCCAAAGGCCGCAACATACGAAAACCTACGGAGTCGAAAAAAATCCACCGAAGTCCATGTTGCGAAGAGAAGCACGACGTCGGCCGAAAAGATCAAGGAACATTTTCCGCAGCCTTCGGCGTCCCGAGGCCACCTCTGGGGCCCTGGGGCCGTCAAAAACATGCTCGGGCTGAAAAGCCAGCCCAGGGAGGTGGGGGCCGCGCAGATGGGATCGAAGTAGACGGGGCCAGAAGATCGCACAGCATCGGGCGATGCCTCGGCCATGCACGGGCGGTGAATCGGCCAGGTATCGGCGATGCATCGCCGATGCATCGCCGATGCCGGGATGGAGGCGACTGGGCTCCGGCTCGCGCGGCATCGCCGACGCATCGGCCACGCGGCGCGACGCTCCGACCCCGCGTGCTCAGTCCCCGGCGAGAGTGGACCGGAGCAGGGGTCGGGCGGTCCAGGCCCACGTCTCGAAGCTCATCGAGCTGCTGGGATGCCCCGGGATCTCCCCCCGGCGAGCTGCCAGCCTGCGGGCGTCCTAGTGCATTCCGGGGCCGCTGGGGGGCGGTCGGGAGCCTCGGGAGAGGGACTGCCGAAGGTCGAACTCTCCTCGAGCTCCTGGATGCCTCAGGAATGAGATGCAGGAATTGGCCCAAGACGTGGACGTTTTCTGCTGTTATGCGCAGCCCACCAATCTGCGATGATGGGCCGAGAATGCAGTGGAAGATCGGCCTCTCAGACTTCTGGAGGTCTCCAGAGACCTCTGCATGAGACCACCGAAGGCGTCTGGGGAAGTCCCCGCCGCCCCCCCCTGTCCCACCCCTCCTCGGCGGCAGCATGCTCCTATCCCAGGCATCCGACACGCAGTCCAGCGCACGCGCCTCTGCTGGGCGGTGCCTCGAGCGCGAGGTGTGCGCGGCGCGGAGGCAAGAGGCCGACTGGCTGACAGAAGTCTCGCGCCGAGCAAAAACACGTGGGCAAGACTGCGCGCATGGCAACCAAGCAGGGAAGCAAGAGGCACGCCTTGACAAAAGACGTGCCGACCAGCATCCACGCAACTGCCGCAAAGTGCAGGGACAAACGTGCGTGGCGCTAAGGTGGTGCGGCAGGTTCTTGTCGTGACGACCCAGGCCTCGGTCTCTGACACCGCGTTGATCATTCAGCCTCGAACAGTCGGCGGCATTTCGATCGCCAGATCGCTCCGTCTGATTTGGAGATTCTGGGCCGCCGCCGGCGTTCAATTTTGAAAATGCCCGCGGCGGCGTCGCCGCCGCGTCGACACAACGCGAACCTGCCGTAGACAGATTTTGAAACGGTTCACCCGCCGTGTAGAACACCACACGCGCGGCACGTCGGGCGAAAGCCAGGGTGCTGGACGCGACCTCGTGCTCCGTCGGTGCACGCGGCTGGAAGTCCCAGGCCTCAGGGCCACGTCTTGAGAGGACGCCTTGGGCGGCACGCCCACCAGGCCCTCCCGACCAAGCCTGGCGGTGCGACCTGGAGGGCCCTGCGATGAAAGGGGGACGGGGTCAGGCGAGTCAGGGAAGACGGGGACGGGGGTACGTCGGCGCGGATGTGCCGCCAGAATGTCCATATCCACTGCCGCTGGGGTCGTGTCCCCAGGACTCGGGGAGCGGTGGATATGGATGTCTGCCCGCCCATGCGGGCGGGCAGCTGTCCACATCCACCACTCCTCGAGGTCCCAGGGCACGACCCCGAGGTGGTGGACGTGAGCATACTCTGGCGGTGGAGCCGAGGTGTTTCTTGCAGCTGCTGCTTGGAACTGACGTCGAGGAGCACATCACACATCCTTGGCGCGAGTCGGCAGTCGGCGGCGCGCGGAGGGAAGAAGTGAGAGGGGGCAGGCCTTCTCGGAAGGCGGCGGGACTTCTCAGAAGCCCTCTGGCCTTCTGAGGGGCCCACACCCTGTGGCTTCGGAGAAGGCCTGATGCTTTCGCGGCCTTCTGGGCAGGCCCGCCCCCCTCTGCCTTCCCCCTCTGAGCGCGCCGCCGACACCAAGAGGAGCGCCAGGGAGGCCGGCTCGCGAGATCCCGGGCGCGCGAGGTCTGCACATGGCGTTCATCCATGTGGACTGGCGGAGCTGGCGGCGTTTCTCGAAACTCCAGGAGAGGAGGGGGGGAGGATGGAGGAGGGGAGGCGAAGCAGGTGGACCGCTCAGCCCCCAGAACCTCGCCGCACAGCGACCCAGAACAGCCAAAAATATCTCTCATCGTCCTTTCCTCCCTCACCCTCCACCCCCCGTCCTCCCTGCCCCTCCTCCCTTTATCCTCCCTCGTTCCCTCGTCCACCCTCCGTCCTCTTTCCAACCCCTTCCCTGCGCAGCTGACAGATTCATGGTCGGCCTTGGAGCTGCGGGGGGACTGCCGAGCAAAGGGGGCTGCGCCTCGGGTCTGCTTACGTCGGCGATGTCGGCGAACGGGACCACCGCATTCACCTTCGCCGAGGGGGGGGACCACGCCCAATTCCCTCATCCACCTTCACCCACCTCCTCCCTTCTCCGCCTGCGCGTCGTCGTCGTCATCATCATCATCATCATCATCATCATCATCATCATCATCATCATCATCATCATCATCATCGTCGTCGTCGTCGTCGTCGTCGTCGTCGTCGTCGTCGACGTCATCATCACCATCAACAACAACATCATCATCATCATCAGCATCATCATCATCATCATCATCATCATCATCATCATCATCATCATCATCATCAGAATCAGAATCATCATCATCATAATAATCAGAATCATCATCATCATCATCCTCATCATCATCCTCCTCATCATCATCATCCCCATGATCATCATTAGCATCATCATCATCATCATCATCATCATCATCATCATCATCATAAGCAGCATCAGCATCATCATCATCATCATCACCATCATCATCGTCATCAGCAGCAGCATCGTCACCATCAGCATCATCAGCAGCAGCATCGTCATCATTATCATCATATTCTCCAGATGTCAGCATCGTCACAAACTGTCATCGGCATCGTCGGCGTCTACATCAGTATGAGCATCGGCGTCATCTCCGTGCGCATCATTATCATCCTCATCATCACCCTCATCATCATCAACGGCAACATCATCATCACCAGCAGCGGCAACAGCAAAATCAGCATCATCGACAACATCCTCATCATCAACACCATCATCATCATCATCATCATCATCATCATCAGCATCATCATCAGCATCATCATCATCATCAGCATCAGCATCATCAGAATCCTCCTCCTCCTCCTCGTCCTCCTCATCATCAACATCAATATCAAAATCATCATCATCAAAAGCATCATCATCATCAGCATCACCATCAGCCCAATAATCATCATAATCAGCAGCATCAGCATCATCAGCAGCATCCTCATCATCGGCATCATCATCAGCGTCAGCATCATCAGCATCATCACCATCATCATCAGCATTAGTACCATCATCATCATCATCATCATCATCATCATCATCATCATCACCATCATCATCAGATTCATCCTCCTCATCGTCATCATCATCAGCATCAACATCAGAATCAACATCATCATCAGCATCTGCATCATCGTCATCGTCACCATCGTCGTCGGCATCATCATCGGCATCGTCATCGGCATCATCATCATCATCACCATCATCATCATCATCCGCATCAACCTTATCGTCATCGTCGCCATCGACAATATCATTTTCGCCCATCACCATCACCGTCGTCAACGTCATCAACATCATCATCAGCATCAGCATCGTCGTCATCACCATGATCATCGCATCAGTATCATCAGCATCATCATCAGCATGCTCATGCGAATCGCGAACATCAGCGTTAGCAACAGCATGGTCATCGGTGACTCTCCTCTCACTTCATCCCACTCCTCATCCTCATCAATCCCCTCCCCCTCTCCATCCGCCTCTTGCTCCTCCTCCTCCTCCTCCTCCTCCTGCTACTCGTCCGCCTCTTCCTTGTCCATTGGCTCTCTCATCACCCCAACCCCAATCCATGACCGAAGGGGTTGGAAAATACAACGAACGCAAATATGCCTGCACAACAGGCACTACTATTCAGCCGCCTCAATCCTCTACAGGGCGGGCCAGTGGCCACGGCTTTGCTTCTGGGCCTACAATGGTTTTCATGGTCGGAGGGCCCTACTGGCGCACACGTGTGCTCTTGTGAAAGAGAGAGCGAAGGAGAAAGTGCAGGGATGATGCAGACATCGGACTGGTGAGAGCGCGGAAGACAACGAAGTATGACGAGGAAGAAAGACTGAGGAGGAAACTCCCCGCGGGACACCTTGAAACCACTTGAGCCGGATAGTCTGAGACCCTAGAAGTCGTCAAAAAAATAATGAATGCCTCAAGGCGTGAACTAACGAGCTGCAGGATCTCTTGGAGCATTCTTCGTGGTTTCCTGGAAAGGAAGGAGGCGGGGGGGGAGATGGAGAAGGAGGCGGGAGCAGGAGTAGGAAAAATTTGCAGGAATTGGAGTAGTGAGAACGCGAAGGGAAAACGACGAGGAAGAATGAGAAGGGACGGGCGAAGACGAGAAGGATGATGAGGAGCCAGACACGAAGTATCGAAGATACCTTCGACGAGTCGCCACCGCCCCTAGCCTTTGAAAAGAGCCTACGTACGTCGAAACATGTTTTGGAAACGCAACACACGTAAGACCCAAAACCGATGAACAATTGCTTCGGCTCTGGTTGAATTATAGGCGCCGTCCGGGCTGTCTCGGGACTGTCTTGGGTCTTGGGGGGGGGGGGGGCCTTTGGGGTATTATTTGGGGTCTCCTTGGGCACTCTTGGGCAGTCTTGGGGGCCTTTTGTGCGGTCATAGGGGGTCTCCTGACTTGGAGCCGTCTTGGCGCCCTCTCGGGACGACCAAATACCCTCTTGGGCAGCCGTAGGCCCCTCTGGGGAAATCAATATTGGGGCCAGATTGCGGCCCCCGCGTGCTCGTTTTAGATGGATAGGATGAATGTCCTCCCAAACCGTTTTGCCCCAGGAGTTTGGGGGAGTTCTCTCGGACCGTTCCTGGGGTGCCACCGAAACTTCTGAAACAAAATTGGAAACTTCTCGGGCCAGTTTTGAAGCCGCTCTGGCCAGATTGTGGGCATATTGGGCTGTCTTGGGAGAATACGAGCCTGACTTGGGACCGCCCCGGGCCGCTTTGGGGGCGATCCACCTGGGAGCCCAGACCATTGGACAGGCCCAAGGAACCCCCTTCAACGTCTCGGCCCCGGCCTGGTGGCCCCTGGCCCCGCTCGATGCCGCCGCCAAGAAAGCCGCCGAGGCCTTCGCCCCAGCGTTTTTTTCTTGGCGGCGGCAGCGCGCTCCTCGTGGAGCAGCCGACCCTGCTGCATGATGTGGGCCTGGTCGCGCAGCCACCCTGTCATCCATTCGCTGAACTTCAATGACGACGCCACCGCTCAGGTTGGTGGCCGAAGCAAGCATGACCTCGAGGCCCTCGACGTCGGGCTGCCGAGCATTGCGCCCCACGGCCGCCACGATCTGCAGCAGCCACCTCACCCGAAACTCCGAGCTCACCAGGTGCGCCAGGTCGACCTGGTCGATGGTGTGACCTCGACCCACAGCTGCTCGCAAATGAAGGAGAACGCCCTGCAAACCGCACTCTTCTGACCGACTCCAGACTTCTGCTTCCGGTTTGTATGGTGCGCCAGCAGCGCGAGGCCCGCGACGATCAGAGCCTCAAAGAAGACGAGCACTGCCGACGGCCCCTGGAGTGGCGCGTCCGCGATGAAGCCCCGACCGCTGCCGCGGGACCCCCACCTCCCGAAAGAATCGCTTGCAACGCGATCCATTGTGGTGCCGAGCACCCGCTTGTCACGGCCTTCCCCGTTGCCCTTGCAAGCACGCCACGCAGACAGCTCGGCGTCCGGCACCTTCTCGATGCTGATCAATTTCTCCCCGATACAGGCACAGCCCACGGCCTCACGCGTGACCATGCTCTCCTCGTAATGCAACGCCCTCTTCGGCGCCACTTCGCCGAACAAATAGCGGTTGTAGCAGTCACACGCAAGTCCAGCCGGCCTCGCCTCCGAAAGCGTCACGAACCCGACCGTTTCAGCATACGGCCAGCCCCGCCGCACCGGTCTGTTTTCCGCGCCTTCCTCGAACGAGTTGAAGCTGGGGAAAAAGACCTCGCCCGAGCGCAACGGAATGATCCGATAGCGCGAGAACACTCGAGCGGCTGCAATGTGGTGATCGGGTGCGCTGGCCACCCTCAGCGTCCCGCCGCCATGGACCAGTAGCAGGCGCATGTGCCGGTAGAAATGGACATCGTCGAAGAAACCGATCAAGACGATGCGCGTCTCCAGCGCGTGCGTCGCCATCCTGGGTGCATCCCGGGACTGTCAGCTGTTGGCGCAGCTTCGGCGCATTCGCGATCCCCTCCGGCAACAGTCTGCCCGCGGCAGCCGTGGGAGGCGCATGGAGTAGCCCGACCTCGAGCTCACGCCAGCGCTGCAGGCGCCTGAGGCATGCTCAGCGGCCTACCCACCCAGCGCGCTCACGATGGCGACCCCGAGCAATAGCCGCCGCCACCGCAGCCCGGGACAGCCCGGGCATGAATCTGGCCTGGGACAGGCCCGGCACTCCTGCGCCAGGCAAGCTGGCGCCGCAGCGGCCTTCGACTTCGGGCAGGCCACCGTCTTGGCCTGCGCGGGGCAGGCCGGGCAAGGGGAAACCGCTGGGCACCCTGGCTCCACAAGCCGCTCCGGCCCACACCTCTCCAGTTGCTTGTTCAGGAGCATGAGGGACCGCGTCCGACGGCTCGGAAACACCCTCGAAGCTGAGGCGGCACTGGCACTCGCAATGCCCCCCGGCCCCACGGCCTCCCTGCAGCCCGCCCAGGTAGCTGCCCAACGAGCTCGCAACGAACGTCATCCAGGCTGGAAGCATGCAGCGCGATCGCTAGCCCGTGGCTTGAGCTAAAAAGAAACGGTGAGCTCGAGAGAAAGAGAGAAAGAGAGAGAAGAAAGAGAGAGAGAGAGAGAGAGAGATTCCTCATTTTCCTTCCTCCTCCTCCTCTTTCTCCTCCTCCTCCTCCTCCTGTTCATCCACCTCCTCCTCCTCGTCCTCCTCCGCCTCCTTATACCCCCTCCTTTTCCTTTCCTCCTCCTCCTCCTCCTCCTCCTCCTCTTCTCTCCTCCTCCTCCTCCTCCTCCTCCTCCTCCTCCTCCTCCTCCTCCCCTTCCCCTCCCCCTCCCCCTCCTCCTCCTCCTCTCCTCCTCCTCCTCCTTTCTCCTTCTCCTCCTCCTCCTCCTCCTCCTCCTCCTCCTCCTCCTCCTCCTCTTCGTATGATGATGGTTATGATTGTCATATGTGGTATTTTTAGTCTGATGAGTAGTAGCATTAGCATTATGATTATGATGAATAGATGTAGTAGTAGTAGTAGTAGTAGTAGTAGTAGTAGTAGTAGTAGTAGTAGTAGTAGTCGTAGTAGTAGTAGTAGTAGTAGTAGTAGTAGTAGTAGTAGTAGAAGTAGTAGTAGTAGTAGTAGTAGTAGTAGAAGAAGAAGAAGAAGTAGAAGTAGAAGTAGAACTAAAAGTAAAAGTAGAAGTAGAAGTAGAAGTAAAAGTATAAGTAGAAGTATAAATAGTAGTAGCAGTAGTAGCCTGATTCGTCGTATGCTTATCATGAGTAGTACTATGATGATCATTCGTGATATAAAAGGTTACTAGTATTATGATTCGTGTTCTTAGTACTACTCAATTATTAATATTACCTGCACTCTTATAAGTTTGATTACTAGACTGAGTATTCGTGGTCTTGTGATTGTCCGTAGCTAAATGTACGTGAATATATTAATACTACTGTTAAAAGTAGTGCCCATAGGAGTAACAGTCGTCTTATTACTATTGTTATATTACAAGTTTGATTACTAGGCTGAGATTTCGGGTTCTTGTTATTGCTAGTAGAATGATTCGTTAAATTTCTGAGATCATGTTGAAAGTGGTTTTATTATTAGTGCTGTTAGAAGTGTTGGTACTACGATTAGTAGTATCAGCATTCGTCGAAATACCCTTCTCCTTAGCACTGCTGTTATAGGTTTCAGTAGGCATTTGATGGATCATAGGAGTACTAGTCGTAGTATGGTTCGTCGTCTTATTGTCATCAGTGTTCGCCTTCTTCTTAATAGTATGATTAGTACTAGTGGTGATGGTGTTCGTAGGCCCATTATTCTCCTCCGTATTACTGTTGGTATTGGTGTTCGTCGGCTTCCTCTGAATATCAGCATTCGCATTCGTATGTGTAATATTTATATGCTAGTAATAGCCGTAATACCAAGATTAGAATGATAATCGATAATACGACTACTTGTACTATTTCATGTGATATGATCAGTAGTGTTAACAACAGGTGCAGTAGTTGCAATATGACTCGTAGTGTTATTCTTGGTATTATGATACGTATTTCTATGAGTACCAAAGTTATGATTAACACGAGCTCGATTAGTATCGTTACTATAGTTGTTATTAGGAGTATTACTGATGCAATTGGTGATCTGATTATGGATGTTCGTATTACGATCACTCGTCTTCGTAACATTAGTATGGTTATTTCCATGTGTGCTATTATTATGATTACTATAAGTTTGATTCCCCCTCCTCCTCCCCCTCCTCCTCCTCCTCCTCCGCCTCTCCCTCCTCCACGGATTCCTCTTCTTCCTCCTCCTCCTCCACCACCACCTCCTCCTCTTCCTTCTCCTCCTCCTCATCCTCCTCCTCCTCCCTCTTCCTCCTCCTACTCCGCCTCCCACTCCTCCTCCTCCTCCTGGTCCTCCTCCTCCTCCTCCTTCTCATCCTCCTTATCCTCCTCCTCATCCTCCTCATCCTCACCATCATCATAGGTTTGCTTCTCCCCACCCCCCCTCCGTCCTCCAGCCCGCGGGCATGGCAATCGACCCTGACCTTCCGAGCAGCGCGACGCCTGAACGCAACCAATGAACTGGCGCACCTCGCGAAACGCCCTGCGTGCGTTCGTCGGGAGGAGATCTGCGAGGTTGCCTGGGGGCCTGTTGGGGCTCTGTGGGCCGTCTAGGGCGAGATGTTTCCATAGAGTTCCCCCGAAGAAATCGAATTTAATGAGGCATGTGGGCAGGACTGGGAGCCTTCGTGAAACTTTATTGAAGCAGTCGTGTTTAGGGAAATCATCGGGCAAGATTGAAGCCGTCTTGAGGTCGTCCTAGGCCGAATTTTGTCAATCGGTCATTGGAGCAAATGCTTGGGATCAAAGTGATAGGCAGTCGTGGCAAGCAATGGTCGCCTTCTTGGTGGTAGCGCTGTGCGCATAGAAGAAGACGCGCGCGTCGAAATCGATGGTAAAGTATCGCTTGTTGTACCTGGCACGCACTCCTCTGCCGATACTGCCGCACCCCCTCTGATCCTCTTGCGCCTGCTCGCGCAAAACACTTCACGCTCCCGGCTGCAGCAAGTTTGAAGCCCCGCGTGCTCACCAATTTTAGAAGCAGAGCACGCGTACGAGTCCAAGCGTTGTATGACAGTCAGCAGCAGGCGGGGCCCAGCGTCATTCATACCAGAGAGCTCTTTCCTTGGGAGGTGGGGAGGGGAGAGAGGGGAGGGATGGAGAAGGCAGGACAGAGGTGAAGGGAGAGGGGAGACAAGATCGTTATCCAGTTTCCCCTCCCCGTGCTCTTTCTCACTCTCCTTGCTCCTACGCTGCCTCAGATGCTTGTGCCTCCAGCTACTTCAACCAAACAAACAGAAGTTCCCTCCCTAAACAGCATGAAAGCGAAACCGTCGGTATTCCGGAGAGATTTCTTGGATCGGCCCACCACCATCACCAATATCATCATCAACGTCGTCATCAGGACCATCGTCAGCATCATCATCGCCATCATCATCATCATCATCATCATCATCATCATCATCATCATCATCATCATCATCATCATCATCATCATCATCATCATCATCATCATCATCATCATCATCATCATCATCATCATCATCATCATCATCATCATCAGCATCATCATCATCATCGTCATAATAATCATCAGCATCATCATCATCATCAGAAGCATCATCAGCAGCAGGTGCATCAACATCATCATCAGCATCATCATCATCTTATCATCACCATCATAAACACCACAAACATCAACGTCAACACCACCAAAACCACCACCACCACCACCACCATCATCATCATCATCATCAACATCATCATCATCATCATCATCATCATCATCATCATCATCATCATCATCATCATCATTATCATCATCATGATCATCATCATCATCATCATCATCATCATCATCATCATCATCATCATCATTATGATCATCATCATCAGCAGCATCAGCATCATCAGCATCATCAGTATCACAATCATGGTCATCAACATCAGCAGTTTCAGCATCAGCATTAGCATCGGCATCGTCACAATCATTATCATCCTCATCAACATCATCATCAGCACCGCCACCACCACGGCCATCCGCTTTAGAATCATCATCATCATCATCATCATCATCATCATCAGCAGCATCAATAGCATCATTATCACCATCATGGGCATCAGCGGCAGCATCATAATCAGCATCATCATCATCGACAGCATCAGCATCATCGTCATCGTCCACATCGTCATCACCATCATCATCATCATCACCATCATCATCATCAGCAGCATCGTCATCGTCAGCATCATCATCATCATCAGCATCATCATCACCATCATCAGCATCAGCATCAGCATTAGCATCATCATCATCATCATGGTCTTCGCCATAGTCAACCTGCAGACACCATTTTCATCATCACCATGATCATCACCATCATCACCATCATCAGCATCATAATCACCATCAGTCCCGAGTGTCACCATCATCACCATCGTCACAATCATCGTAAACATCATCATCCATCAGTGATCATCATCACATCCTCACCAGCACTCGTCAACATCATCATCATCATCATCATCATCATCATCATCATCATAAGCATCATCATCATCAGCATCAGCATCAGCATCAGCATCATCATAAGCAGCAGCAGAGCATCACCATAAACAACATCATCATCAGCACTATCAGCACCATCATCATCAGCATCATGATCTTCAACCTCATCCGCATCCTCATCGTCATGGTCATTATCAGAAGCATCATCATCAGAACCACCATAACCGTCACAATCACCGTCCCCCACATCATCCCCGACATCACGTTCACCCTCATCATCAGCATCATCGACATCAGCAGCAACATCATCAACTTCATCATCCTCCTTCTCATAATCATGATCAGCATTACTGGCATCATCATCATCATCACCATCATCATCAGCATCATCATCGTCATCATAGTATCATCCTCATCGTCATCATCATCACCATCAGCATCATCATCATCATCCTTATCCTCATCCTCATGATCATCAGGAGCACCATTATCCTCATCAACACCATCACCACCACCAAAACCACCAACATCACCATCACCATCTCATCATAATCGTCAGCATAGTCAGCATCACCGTCATCATCATCATCATCATCATCATCATCATCATCATCATCATCATCATCAGCATCATAATCATCATCAGCAGCATCATCGTGACCATCACCATCATCATCAGCATCATCATCACCATCATCATCATGATCATGATCATCATCATCGTCATCATCATCGTCGTCATCATCATCGGCATCATCATCCTCATCGTCATGGTCATCATCAGCAGCATCATCATCAGCACCACACTTACCATCGCAATCACAATCACCCATCGTCCCCGACATCATGGTCGTGCTCATCATCATCATCAACAACATCAACATCAGCATCAGCATCAGCATCCTCATAGTCCTCGTCATCATCATAAGCATGATCATTATCATCATTATCCCTGTCCTCATCATCAGCAGCATCAGAATCACCATCATCATCATCAGCATCGTCATTATCACCAGGATCATCATCCTCATCATCACCATCACCACAACCACCATCAGCATCAGCATCATCATCAGAACCACGACCACCACCACCACCACCACCACCATCATCATCATCATCATCATCATCATCATCATCATCATCATCATCATCATCATCATCATCATCCTTATCATCATCTGCAGCATCATCGTCATCAGGAGCACCATCACCATAAACATCAGTATCAGCATCATCAGAATCAGCATCATCATCAGAATCGCCAGATTCGCATCATCATCCTAACAATCATCATCATCACCCCCTTGATCATCATCATCCTCGTCAGCAGTACTCATCACCGTCAGCATAATCAGCTTAATCATCATCATCGTCATCATCAGCAGAAGCAGTATCGCCATCACCATCACCATCACAACCACCACCACCACCGTCATCATCATCATCATCATCATCATCATCATCATCATCATCAGCATCATCATCGTCATCGTCATCGTCATCGTCATCGTCATCGTCATCAGCATCATCAATGGCATCATCTCCACATGCTCGTCCTCATTACCTTCTCCTCCCCCTCCTCCTCCTCCTCCTCTTCCTTCCCCTCCTCCTCTGCCTCGTCCTCATCCTCCTCCTCCTCGACGGGCCCAGTTGAGGAGAAACCGTGGGGGCTCGCAAGCGCCTCGTCGAAGCGTCTCCCCTAGGATCTCGCGGGGCGGTCCAGCCGGAGACCCCGCCTGGATTCTGCCCTGACCACGATCGCAGGACTGCCGCCACCGCGGCGGTTCCCCACGCTTCCAAGAGGGCCTCGGGCGAGATCCCCGTGCGGCGCGCGCCGCAGAAATCCGAGATAGGCTGCGGAAACCTTGTCCCAGTCTGGCCCCCTAGACGGCCGTCAACCCCCCGAAGGCCCTCACGTGCACCCCACTCTTTTCAAAAGATCCAGTCAGGCCCTACCCCAGAGAGGCTTCCAGCTTGGAAGGGGCTGGCCGGGGGCACTGACGCACGCGCACCATCGACGCGCCGCTCTTCTTCTTCATGATCCTTGGCTCGCGCGCTCGGGCGCCCCCCACACCATTTCACTGTGAGTTTCCATTCTCCTTTTCTCCAAACGACTGGCCTGAGCGTCGATTCTAGGTGGCCTTATGGGCCAGAAGCCATTGCGACTTCTCCTCCTCCCCCTCCTGCTCCTCCTCCACCTCCTCCTCCTCCTCCTCTTCCTCCTCCTCCTCCTCGTTTCTGGGGCGTTGGCCAGATCTTACGCTTACGCGTGTTGCGTGCCTGAAGTGCTACAGGAAAAGAAATGGTAGTGCAGATGACTCGGCGCAAAGGCACCTGGCGGGCGCCGCAGCTACGGCGGTAAACAGAGGAAGCGGAAAGAACGCATAGGTATAATAGTGGGCGCCCGCCAGGCAACGCAACTTGTATCTTACCGCAGTAGACACGAACAAGTAGACCATAGACGTAAATATTGCGATGTTTCAATCGGTACATGCTGCGAACAGTGCAGAGGTAAAAAAAGAGAGAGAGAGAGAGTGTTCTCCACCGCCACTTCTAAGCCAAGGTGAGTGCTGCAGTAGGGTTGTATGAGTTTACCCCTAACCTTCAAAGAAGAACGTGCAACCTATGGGCTGCGCTCGGGTTTTTGAGGTGCACCCCTAACCTGCAAAAAGAGAGCTTGCAATCTCTGGTCTGCGACCTAGAGCTTTGTAGGGTAGCCCGAACCTAGTACAGACCCGCCTCGGCAACCTCCGTACCCACAAGCTACCCATCAAGCCCGCCATCACGTAAGCTGTAGTTAGTACACTCGGCGCAGGCTGTTTTGCTGGGACTCATGCGTGGGCTGACTGCTCGCGTATAGCCTGATGCAGCAAAAAGAAAAAATGAGTGCGTGATGAATGCTAGGTGCTGCTAGCACTCTGTGCGCTGCAAGAGGCTTGTAAAGGTTGACCCCTAACCTGTGAAAAAGGAGTGCCATCTTCGGTTTGCTACCCAGGGTTTTGTAGAGTAACCCCGAATACATGAAGCAAGCTCCTCCTCCGTTGCCACCCCAGTAGATGACCAGTAAACCACCGCCTCGAAGAGAAGCTAAGTGTGGTAGGGCGTGAAGAGCGCAAGGTAGAGCGCGAAGAGCGCGTTTTCTATCTACATACCTACATACCTACATACCTACATGTCTACATACATACATACATACATACATACGTACGTACGTACGTACGTACGTACATACATACATACATACACGTACGTATGTACGTATATACATACATACATACATACATACATACATACATGCATACATACATACATACATACATACATACATACATACATACATACATGCATACATGCATGCATGCATGCATGCATACATACATACATACATACACATACATAAATACATACACATACCCATACACATACACATACACATACACATACACATACACATACACATACACATACACATACACATACACATACATACATACATACATACATACATACGTACATACATACATACATACATAAATATATATATATATGCATTCATGCATACATGCATACGTACATGCATGCATACATACATACATACACACATACACACGTAGATACGTAGATACGTACACACGTACATACGTACATACGTACATACGTACATACGTGCATACATACATACATGCATACATCCATACAGAAGAAAACCAACCAAAACAAACCAACACAAACCAAAACCAAACAAACATAATATATACATATACAAAAACTGGGGCCGCCACCGAGAGCTTCGTAGGGCAACGCCAACCTGCAAATGGTAAGATACCACCATCGTGCCAAAGCCGCGCGGGAAAAGGAGGACAAGTGCATTGCATGTGCTGCTATGACTCTGTGCGCTGCAAGAGGGCTTTTAAGGTTTACCCCTAACCTCTGACAAAAAAAGGCGGCGTGCAATCGTTGGCCTGCGACCTAGGGCGTCAAGAGTTCCTCCTCCGTTACCACCTCCCATTAAGCCACCGCCTCTTAAAGTAGCAGGGTGAGGGCACCATACTGCAGAAGAAAACTAGTACACTTGGGCTGGGGCTTGCCGCCGTCAATGCGAACAGAAAAAATGGCCGTGGCCAAAGTATGCTGCCTGGCTGTGTCCGAGGCTGCATGTGCACGCGTGCACTGTGCGCTGCAATAAAGAAGCTTAAAATGTTTACCCTTAACCTCCAAGTAATAAGCGTCTTAGATTTAGGCTGCGACCCAGGGTGCTGTAGGTCAACCCCGAACCTGAGTATAGAATTTCTCCTCCGCTACCACCATGATCAGTGAACCACCGCGACCCAGAGTAGCCAAGTGGGATAGAGCGTGAAGAGCGCAATGAAGTAAAAAAGAAAGGCGGTCCTGAGCCCCTACCCAGGGTTTGTAGGGTAGCCCCAAACCTGCAGATGGTAACACAGCGCCGCCGCGTCAAAGCCGCGCGTGAAAGTGAGGAGAAGTGCATTGCATGTACTGTGATAACTCTGTGCGCTGCAAGAGGGCTTTTAAGGCTTACCCCTGACCCCTGGACAAGATTTGGGCTGCGACCCAGGGTTTTGCAGGGTAGCCCCGAGCCAAAATAGAGAGTTCCTCCTCAGCGACCACCTCCGTAAATCAGTAAACCACCGCCACCAAGAGTAGTTAGGTGAGGCAGAACGTGTGAAGTGCGCGAAGAAAAGAAGGCAATACTAGGGCTGCTACCCAAGGTTTTGTAGGGCAACCCCAAACCTGGATAACGTAAGAGACCATTGTCGTGTCATCGTCTGCTTCTACTTCGACGACCTGAAACAATGTGCATATGGGCTGGCCTTTTGAGTAGGCTGACCGTGCGGCTGCCCTGTAGTGTTACAGGCTGGCCGGATGCACAGGTCTAGGGTGCGCAAAAGGGGTGAGGAGTAGAAATGCAGCACAGTGTTGTCAAATTTTGATGTATGTACTGACGGACTGCTCTGACAAAATGGCGTAGACGCCAAAGTGCTGCTGCCTGGCTGTGTCCGAGGTTGCGTATGCAGAAATCACAATATCGATAGGAATGGATGGTGCACCTGGGGCGTCCACTAAAATTAGCCGTGCATGTCTCACTGCCGGTATAAACAGTGATATTGAAAAAAAGGCTGTCGCCGAAGAAATGCTGCCTGGCTGCGTCCAGGGCTGCGTATGCACGTCTACAATGCGCGCTGCAATGGGGTTTTTCAGGTTTACCCTGAACCTCCAGGGCAAGAGCGCGCAATTTCGGGCTGCGACACAGGGTCTGATAGGCCAACCCCGAACCTGAGTAGAGTATTCCCCCTCCGCTACCCCTAGAAACAATGACCCACCGCCTCCAAGAGCATGCGAGGTAGAGCGTGTGCTACCCAAGGTTTTATAGGTCAACCCCAAACCCGGATAAAAAAAGAGACCACCAGCGCGCCAAGGTGCCAGGTGGGAGAGGGGGACCAGGGGTGCATTGCAGGTCAGGTAGTGTACAGTGCAGCAGCGGTACAGCTAGTTCACTGGGGCTGGGGATGTGCCACCGTCGATGTGTACTGAAAAATGACAGTCGCTTGAGTAGTGCTGCCTGGCTGCGTCCGAGGCTGCATGCGCATTGGGGTTTTGAAGGTCAACCCACAACCTCAAAAGTAAAGAGCGTGCAATCGTTGGGCTGCGACCCAAGGCTTTGTAGGTTAACCCCGAACCTGAGGGGAGACCTCCACGAGAATGCGAATGAAGATGCAGGACAAAGGAGATGTGCACGAAAGCAACAACGACAAAAAACTTAGGGCTGCTACCCAAGGTTTTGTAGGCTAACCCCCAACCTATTGTTAGTAAGTACCACTGACGTGTCAGAAGAGCCGCGAGGAGATAGAGGGACGGCGCATTGCAGGTCAGTGGCCATGGTATACAGACTGACTGCTGGAGTGGCTGTGTTGGCTTTCAGTATGGGTCCTTCTGCGGTAATTGCCCCACTAGGAGTACTTGATGTGGAAGTTGCGGTGGTCTGCCGTGTACCAAGCATTGTAGGTCGGTTCTCCTCCTCCTCCTCCTCCTCCTCCTCCTCCTCATCCCCCTCATCATCCTCCACCTCAGCCTCCTCCCCCTCCCTTCGTGTTTATTGCATCAAACCGCTATGCAAGCCCACCCCCCCTTCCCCATCTTCATCCTCGCGACTCTACTCCGCGCGGCCCCAAGGTTGCAGCGTCAAGGGTCGCTAGCAAGGCAGGGATTTCATTACCAAGTTTCACGGAACGGTCCTCACGTCACCTTTGCCCCCCCCTTTTCTGCCCCCACGTGGCCCCAGCCTCCGTGACTCCACGTTCAGCGTTTCAGTTGCACTTGTTGTCGGCGCTGCGTTTGGCGCGCGTGTTAATGCAAACAGATGACACCGGCCAGCCCCATGAAGCGAACAACCTGGAATGAGGACATGCACGGGGGATCTCAAATGGCGCGACGATCATGCCAGCCAGGCCGCGCAGGCCGCCAAGGCGTTCATGGCGAGCATCGGGATCGGCCCCCAGGTGCTCTTGCCGCAGCCTGTGGCCGCCATGGCGGAGGGCACGAAGCCCGTCGTGCAGTGCGCCGAGCAATGTAATAATGCAAGGCTGCCGTCGCCAGACGCCCGCTCTCTTGTCTTGCCATGGCACCCGTTGCCTTCTCTAGCTATGGCAATGCCGCCCTTGTGACATGGAGGTCGCATTGCCTGCCCACGCGTTTGTGTCACTGCTCCCTCGCCTTCGTTGGCTTGGATGTCTCGGGCATCGCCGCGGCTGGGCCCAGGCCGAACTCCTCGCCGCGTTCCCGCTTGAGAAGGAAGGGGATGGGGGCAGATCCCGAAGTCGATCGGGCTGGCCACGGCCTCAACGCTCGCAGTCACTCGCTCGCCCCCCCCCCATTGATCGACGACGACGCCCAGCGCCACATTCCTCCAGCTGTGGCCCGTTCCAGGCCGCGGCTGAGTAAGAAATCGCGCGTGACGGAGTGTGAAGAGAAGCGCCGTGAATGTGGCTGCGAAGCTTGCAACTACTGCTGCCTCATGAAGTGGGA